GCAGACCCTTTTGATCCCTCTTGGATTGATTTGACTCGACCTGCGTTCGCCATGAATACACAATAAGCACACTTCCTACTATAAGTAAGATGGGTTGAAATACATAATGAAAAAAATCCTCACCAGCTTCATCTTCCCTTTCAAACAGCACAAACCGTTTCCATGGACAACCTATCCTTCCACCCTCCTCGCACTCTTTCACCTTCTATCCCCACGCGCCAGGAGGTGAAATGTCAGAGTTCGAGGAGAGGAAGGTGCAACCGTCGTTGTCGTTATCGTCGTCGTATCTGGGGAACGCGCGTGCGCCGCCCATGGGTCCAGGTCGCAGGGCAGGCTGGGAACTGTAGTCCGAGCGCCGATCAGGCGGCTCGTGTTGAGGGGCCGGAAAGCTGACGTTTCGGGTCGAGACCCTTCAGAAAGGTTTTTTTTCTGAAGAAGGGTCTAGGCCCGAAGCGTCAGCTTTCCTGCTCCTCTGATGCTGCTTGGCCTGCTGTGTTCGTCCAGCTCTACACCTTGTTATCTCAGATTCTCCAGCATCGGCAGTTCCTACAATCTCGTGTTGAGGGGGTTTGGTGTACGGAGACTACATGTCCCGGCGTTCCGCGCGAGCGCACCTGCGCACCCCTGAGCAAGAGATGGAGGGCGGGGATGAGGGAGGGACGGACGGACGGAGAACTGGGCCCCCCGCCTCTTCTCGCTGTGGGAGTTTGATGTTGTTAATCATGGCGGGTCTGAGGCAGACAAAGGCGCTGAGACCCACTCCTGAAGTGCAGATTTAAGAAAGTTTCTCGCGTGGTCTTTTTCTTTTTTTAAAAGAAAGAAAATTTAAAAATATAAATGAAACAGCCAGCTCCTTTCTGGGTAAGAGAAAGCACTCTGGTTATGTTTAAATGGATGAGATTATTTCCAAGAATCGCAGAGGAAGCTGATAAGGTGGTAAGTGTTTTATTTATGCTTGACGGAGGCTGTTTATTTTTTTTAAATTTGTGGGTAGTAATTGGTAAGTCTGAGCTGTTTGTGTCAGGCTAATGTACAGAATGTTTTGTTTCATAGAAATACTATTAATGTGTATGTGCTCATTGTGCAGAGAATCAACTCAGCTAGTTACCAGAACTGTCAAATTTCAAGGAAAATGCTGAGATTTCTAAGAAGAAAGGCAACACGTAGTTAGCACAAGCAAATGTGGTTTTGGTTTCCAGAGTGCAGTGCATCAAAATAGTGAATGTTGTTGAACATACTGTTCCTTAAATTGTGAGATATGATATTTTGCATTAGGTCTCAATGGTGTTTTGAATTTAGGAAGGATTCTCCTTCAAGGCTCCTTCGAGGGTTACGCAGGCAAGTTTCGAATGGGTTTTTTTTGTTCTACACAGTCTCACTGTTGTGATTACTTACGGGCAAGTTTCCATATGGAGGCAAAACACATGGAACTATGTGTAACTGAGTCATCCCAGTCTTCTGTGCTGGAAGGATGCTATCTACTCATGTTACTGTGCTTGTTTAGGGCCAGGTAAATACAGTAGTGATCATAGGTGGCCTAATATTCTTTTAACTGTGACTTCTGAGTTTCTACATTGTATGGTTTGAATTGGAGTTTCTATTGTCTTATTTGTGCTACAGTATGAGCCATAGCTCCTGGATAGCTTGTTAGATGAAGGCTATGCTTGTTATCATTATTTCATGTAAATTTAAGGCTGCGTATGGGGATGTTTGTTAAAGCACAGATTTTAAAGGATTAGGTTTCCAATAAATGGGAAGTTGTAACACAACTAGATATTTTCAAATGTGCTGGAAAACACATGGGATTACATTTTATGCATGTTCTGTCATTTTTTAACATATATCAGGGACTTGTGCAAAGACAATAGCTGAATACAGTGGAGTTCTTAAATTGTGAGGCAGCTGTGCAAACTTGACTGTGAATGGAGTAGCAGTGGTGGTCACATGTGGCCTTGTTAGAATGCCTGAAAGTACTTGAGTGAATGAGTGACAGAATTGGATCTGCCTCATTTAAAAGACAACTTTTCAGCAAGCTGCGTTAGAGTTTTTTTTTGTTTTGACGCTGCATGGTTCCTCTTATGATACACTACAATTCTGAGTTCACAGCTCAGGCATGGAATTTTGTAGATAGAAAAGCATTGGGGGGAGAAAAAAACTTTTGTACTAGTACAGAATTGCCTGATGCTGATTTAAGCAGAAGTATCTTGTCTCAATGCAAAGCTTGTGAAAAGGATTTGAGGTTATTTTTCTCTTGTTGGCAGCAATCAGAACATAAATACAGCTAGGGATGAGCAAAGACCATTGAATTCATTTCTGAACTCACCCAACAGATGGCTAACTGTATCTTCAATTCCACAATATCTTCAACTCCAATCTTGTGTGCTTGATAAATTTGTGGATTTATTACCATTTGTGTGTGGAGAATCTTTGGCTAAGGCCTTTGTTGTTTGGCTGAGACTTTATACTGGGGTCCATCTGCCTCTCATGTAGGTGTAAAACATCTCAGTGCTATTTTGAAGGACAGTGAAGTTATCTCCAGTGTCATGGCCAATATTTTATCACTCACCATTACAAAAACCTAAAACCTTTCTTCCTTTGTTTGGGGAACTTGCTGTGTACAAATTGGCTGTAGAGCATACATTTGCAATGTCTTAAAGTCATGCAGCATACAGATAGGCCCTTGACTCACCATGTCTACACCAGACTATACCGATCCCATTTCCCATGCTTAGTCAATAGCCCATTATGCCCTGGCATTTTAAGTGCTCATTCTGAGGTGCTGAAAACTTTTTGTTGGTTGACATTAAATTCCTTTTGCTGTTTACTTGCTCAAATATGAACTTTTTGCAAGCCCTACTTGCAGTTCTCAATAAGCATTTTTTTTAGGGAAATCTAGCAAGCTGATAACTTCTACCTTTGTACAAACACTACACTGTGGGGATAAAGATTCCTGTAACCAATTTTTACTTCCTTCAAGTAGCATTATGCCTCTTACAAATGCACAGTTTCCTATCTTTTTTTTGTCCAGCTTCTTATCCAGTCCCACAATGTTCTCAGGATTTCCATGTATTGTAGTTCAACTAGTATCCTTTCAGTTGGGAATCTGTACACTATTCTTTGGCAAAACGCAAAACTTGCATCACACAGTATCTCATTATTAAGATTCTCCTAAAATGCTTCACATTAATACGCTTTTGAAATGTAATCACTGTTGTTTTAACTGCAAGCACAGTGGCTAGTTTGTGCACAGCAAGACCACAAAGAGCTAGTGAGACTAATAATGTACTTGTATTGTTCATGGAGAGAGAAATGTTGGTTAGCCAGCTGGAGAATTCCCTGATCTTTTAATCATAACATGAGGCCTTCTAGATTCCTGAGAGCTGTGTTGAGGTGGCAGAAATGATCCAAGATGGAAAGAAGGAAATCTTTCTTCAGATACAGCTGTTACCACTTTTAGTTTATCAATCCTTGATGTTTTTCATTGCTGTTGGCCGAATCCTGTGTTTAGCCTTTTTTATGAAGTTGTATGAACCAAATATTAATTTATAATACAATTGAGTGGATGTGTCTAGATATCTATCTATATCTTGAAATATGCAAAGCGACAGACAGATTGCACCAGCAACAATATTGCATTTGCAACGAACAAGATATTTTGATAACGACATCCAGCCTACAATAATACCAAAGAAGTCTCTCAAATCCTCTGTATGTGATTGGAAAACCTTCTGTAAGGCCTGTCACCATGCACAGAGGGTTCTGAAAGAACATTTTAGAATTTACAACATTTTCTGCAGAAAAGAGATTCAAGCCAGCTGCAACTGATCCACCAAGCCATCTCTGCCATTAGTTTGTGTGTGCAAAGTGACTTTAGCTACAGATCAATGTTTGGGACGATCTGTGAATTACCCATTTCTCCTGAATTTATGTCACTTGGCTAAAATACTTAAGATAAACTGTTGCAGAGTTTTATGTTTTTCATCAAATCTGAAGGTTGTGTGTGAGACTTAGTTTTCAAGAAAGGTAGTATATATATTTTCATAGTTTAAAACTGTTGATAATCTTGCTTGAGTAAACGTTGTTGTATTTGAGTGTTGGTCCATTTTCATGAAAGTGTTTAAGTATTAACTAGGTTAGTATTTCAGAACCATGATTGTAAACAGCCTCTGGAGTATTAATGGGAAGTTTATTTACATGGTTGAGAATTATGACCAGGAAAAAAAATTGAAAGACTTTGTCCTAAACACAAAGTAAACTAATCAAGGAATGACTTTAGCTTAGCAAAATCCAAAGAATGGAAAGCTTTTGGGCAGTCCAAGGAAACTTGACACAAGTCAGATGCAAGTATAGTTTTTCCTAGATCCCCTTGTTCAGATCAGTGAGGGAATAAGTTAGCTCAGGGAAAGAGTTTATTTTGTGAAAAATCCAGACCCCAAGTATTTAGTTAGAACCCTGCAGGCTATTTAAAGAAAGTTTAAGTTCTTAATTGTGTGAATGTTCAAGAAAACAGCTTTACAGATCACAAGACCAGAACTGAGAAAAAGTTAAGTCAAACTTAGAGGTTTTATAGGATGAGAAAATCTTTTGGTGTTTTGATTAACTGTACAGTGGTAGTGTTGGGGAAAAGATGGGATTTTGTTTTGCCGTGTATTTTGAAGTATTTCAAACTGTTATATTAGCTTGGTTAGGTCTATTTTAATTTGATTACGTTTGTGTAATAAACTTGTTATATTGGTGAAACAAAATCTATAGCCTTGTGTGTTTGGTTCAGTGAAAGACTGCCATTTTAAATTTGAAAAAAATAATGATCTTTGAAGCCACATTTAGTTCTGTGTCCTGACTTGCCCAATAGTAACATCAGCTGAGACTATCACACTAACATTTTTTTTTCTGTAGATTTACGCCCATACTCTTTTTCATTGTTAAGTAGTTGGAATTTGAGGTAATCTGATCTTAATTTTAAATTTTAAATTGGGAATTTTACTTAAAATCTGAATTTGTGGGAAAAATTACAACTAAGGAGGAATAGAATCCTGTTTACATTTCAAACATCTGCACATCTTGGCTACGCCAGTGTCAATACTGCACATGAGCCTCCTTCCATTCAACTTGTTCACACACTGTATTAATTTCCTTGCTTGCATTTAAGATATGAAAGTACTTTCTTAGAAAATATTGAATAATGCGAAGAAGGTTCATTATTATCCAGAGGTTGGAGTTTTCAACACCAGAAGGTTTTCTGGTGACCTGTTTTCTCTTTCAAAACAAAACATTAGTTGTCAGGTGTAGTTGCCAGTTGACTTCCAGCATTCCGTCCAGTGGCTATCTTTCAGCTGTGAGCTTGGAAAATGAGTGTCTCTATGCCATTTGCCTGTCGGGTCATCACTGCTGAACCCATCCTGTTATCAGTGAATTTTTAGCAGCTGTTTGGTAGCAATAAACAACTTGTCAAATATCATTTTGTCATTTATTTTTAATTGTGAAACTTTACCTAAAATGTCTCACCTGTTGTAGATATAACCATCACAGTGCAAAAAACCCACAAATTTTATGTAAAGTGATTTAAAACACTGGAAGTACAGTTGGATGCCTTGTAATTAGACTTCTTCCTTTTCACCCTCTTTTGTGGAGTTTTTGTTGGGTATGTGATGCACATCTCTCAGCACCTACACACTGAAGAATCAACTGCTGGACTTGTCCTGTCCCAGTGAAATTACTATTCATCTTTACTCTGTCCATCATAACTATACCAATAGAAAGTGAAGTTCAGAGAAGAAATATTTGAAGGTGAAGAGGGATACTACATTAATCATTTAATTTTCAAATGAAATCACTAGTGCACGTTGAAATCAATTAATTACCCACTTTCACTAAAGCTAGAAAATGCTGGTCAGAGAAGTAGTTAACAGGGACTGGAGGGTTTGAATTATAGGGAG